GTCGAACGCTAATACGGTGACGAATACTGTAAGGAATATAGCTTTTCCTAGTACGATGGTGAATGCGGTTTCTCTTAATACATATAATATGTCGAATATAGCTGTTCCTAGTATTATAACAAATACATCTCTGCCTAACATTACGAATTGGATTTTGTGTACTCCAGATTTAATCTTGCCGTTTGAATATAATCACGAGCAGGCCGAAATTGAAAAAGTCGAAAAATTATTTGACTTCAATAATTAAAAGTTTTAATTTATATTAAATCATCTAAGATTAAATCGAAATGGTGTAATTAGAACTATGTGACATTAAAATGTGCTATAGCATAGTACAGTATATCAAAGTGAGGTTTTCTTCCTTAAAAATGATCACCAATGTAACACCGAATAAAACAATAAAAAATAACAGGTATACTATATATAGCCAGTAAAATATTTATATACACCTACTACACTGGTCAATGACTTCTTTAATTCAAAAAACCGGAGAATGACTGATTATAAATAGAGTATGTAAGCACATGTATTGAATTTGGAGCTTTGATTAACCGAATTTGGTTTCAAAAAATTTTGAGTTTTGATTTTCATTGTTTAATTTCCCCATTTAATATTTTTTCGAGCACAAAAATCCAATCCTGCAGCAACTTTATTAAGGAAATTAAACAATGAGAGAAACGTGACAGATAGTGCGATGATGAATCTGGTCAAACGAAAAGGTTGAATGAGATAACTTTTTATGCTCTATATGTTTTAAAGTATTTTGTATATTCAAACGAGCCAGAAGAAGGAAAATAGAAGATAGATTTTAATGACTCATAGTTTAAAAATGAAGCATTGTCATTAACAAAGGTTTAATATAATCAATTAAGTATTATAAATTTTCAGAATCGAGATTAATACTAACTTTACTAATTTAAATTTTAATTATAAAGATAACAGAATTCAATGCGGATATAATGTCCCCAATCTCGTGATTTTGTTGGTTTCACATTAAAACTTGATGGTTGCTTATTAGCAACATAAATAGTGTGAGTTCTACGATGGGGGTTGAGCTTGAGTGTGCAGTATATCTGGTACATGTACTGTATTTAGGGAGGTCTAACTGTATATACATAATGTTTTTGTTTAGTGTTGAAAACAATAATTGGAACCAGATTCAATTTTCTTATTGTAATATACATATATTAAAATTAGATCAGGTTCCAAACTATAATTGTAAATTCGATGTCAATGTTCTCAGAGAAGACTAAGATCAGTTTTTAAGAATGTTCTTTATTTTTCTTATTTGAAATGTTCTAGCGAATAATATTAAGGGTCTTTCTATATAATATACAAATACGGAACCACGTACAGCAACTAATATGACTACCGTTATATCATCATCGATCTTGTGATTATGTCAATGATGAAAATAAGAGGGAGATATCGAGAAACGTTTTTTACTCAACATGATTGCATTATGCATCTTATATAAAAGGTATCTCGAATTCAACAAGATGAGCAATATCTATGAATGCTTGATGATTCTCAAGTCCATCTTTAGAACGTGATGGATCAATCAAGTTCAATAAGTATTTTTTATTAATATAATAATTATTTTAATGAACGTGGTGAGATACAAATTTTTAATTCTTGATTATTTACTTTTTAAAGAGTGTGATTCATAACGATGTGATTGTGATGCAAAATTTTTTGTTACGTAAAAGTAACATTCAGGAAGAAGAACGATTGACTTGGGCTCGACAATAACTATAACAATACGGGAAAAATTTTTGCATCACATATAATTTTTTACTATGGCCGTGTGAACAGCCAATCAGATCACATGATCTATGAAGTTTAACTTCGATATTTTGCAGTGTCATAATGTGAATGTGTGAATGTATAATGAAAATTTTTCCTGGGTTGATTAAACCAAGTGTCGATTATTCTGTTTACGGTAAGAGGTCTATGCTTTTCTCTATAAAAATTATAAAATGCATTTTTTGTTGGAGGTTCATTTTCACTACAACGTTTATAATCGAAAAATCTGTATGTCTTGAAACACTTTTAGCACAGAATATTTATCAGACAAACTCCAATAATCAAGTTGCAACAATTATCAAAAAGCATAAAAGATTTTTTTAAAAATTACATATATTAAGAAAGTTTGACTAAGAAAATTAATAATTATTATAAATGTAAAATGTAAAATTCATTATAAAGTTCAGATAAATACAATATTTAATTTTTATGGTACAAGTCACTCTCAATATAGTAAAGACTTGATATAGTAAAGAATTTCTCTCGTACTAAACCAAGCTTAATAAATTTACCTCGATATAATAAAGTTATATAGTAAAGTCTTGGTATAGTGTATAGTAAAGATTTGTTCAAAAATGTATGATGAATTTTCCTTCGAAATAAACAAGATTAAGTCACATGTTATATTTTGACCAATCATATTTTCATATGTAAGCACGTGTTCAAATATATTTGTTTGTATCACATTTATTCAAAAAAAATGAGATTGAACATGAAATTGTAACTACAATAGATTTTTAGAGTTTCAAGAATCAAAAATGAGATTCGCTTAATTAATAATTTTATGCAAATTCTGTAATATTATATTTTATATGAAGTTTCTTAATATATTACCGGAAATCCTAAAAACGAATCTGCCACTTTGAAATCCAATATCTCAAAATTCAATGATCCAATTTAAATGAAAATACTGCATTAAATTTGTCCCGACTCCACGAATCTTATGGTAATATCTTTATTTAAATGGGATCACTGGATTATGAGAAATTGTGTTCCAAAATGATAGTCTCATTTTTGAAATTTCTGGTAATATATTGTAGAATGTGAAGTAAAAATTCAAATTTTCAAATATGAACTTTACTATATCAAAGAATTTGATATAGTAAGATTCTCGTTATAGTAAAGAAAAAGTTCTGATCTGATGCCTTTACTATATCAAAGACTGACTTGTATTTGAAACTTATTGAATTCTGATAAAAATTAGATTAATAGTTAAAATATAAGAGCAATGTTCAAAAATAAAAGATTATTTCTAATTATTATAGATTGTTAAAAGTTTTTTGAAATTTATATTAATTTTATACATATTCTTTTTGAATTTATCATTACAGAATTAAAATAGAAAAAAATTACTTAAATATACTATCAAAAGATTATTGAATTATAAAAAGATAAGGAAAATTATTTAAATAATATTAAATACTATTTGAAGTCAAAAATAAATAAATATATAGAAGTACTAAATGAAGTTTAAAATAAAATAGAAATAAAATAAAATTTAATTTTAATTATTATTAATAATAAAAATTAATATATATATATTATTTAATATATACAATACATGAAAAAAGTTTTTGAAATGATATTTTTATTAATTGTATAATGAAAAATAGTCAGAAAAATATGAAATTTTACAGATACCTTCTTTATAATATAATAAAATATTTTACTTATTGCTAGTAGCTTATTTTATTACTATTTCTTTCAATTATTTTATTCAATTTCATTGGCATGCTACAAATCAAATTAATATAAGTACTTCAGTCAATCTCTTCCTATTCTTTTTGAATCACTTCATAAAAGATCTCAATTATAATTATATATTTTTTTACCAGTATATTATTAACTTATTTTTCAATTCAAATCTTTAAAATTTGCCATAAATTTTTAATTGGATTGAGATCTGGGCTATTTGAAAACCAGTCTAACAATTTTAGATACTGCTATACAAGAAGTTTTTTTATTTTTTTAGCTATATACTTAGAATTATTATCTTATTAAAAAATCTAATTTTTATTTATAATATTATTTATATTTTCAAACAGATTTTTAGTTAGTATCTTTTGATAAAAGCACTATCTATAATATCTGTAAAAAAAAAGCTAATTGAATCTTTCACAAAAAATGCACTCCAGACATGAATTTTATATAAATATTTTATTATAGCTTTATAAAGAGGCTGTATATCAGATTTATAATATACTTTTTAAATATTTCTGAATATTTGTATACTGATTTTATCAGAAAAAATAACTTTATTTCAATTCTGTCATCTATATTTTATAGCAAATTCCAAATTATATTCTTTATATCTATTAGTAAGAAGAAAAATAGTCCTTGAAATAGTATAATAATATATAAATTATAAAGTTTATTAAGTATTATATGACTACTGATATTAAGATCAGAATGATACTTATTTAATATATTTATAAGTTTAATAAAGATAAAGTATTTGTTACTTATAATCAGTTGATCAAGATGATAATGTTAATTAGAAGAGAGTTTTTGAGATCTATCAGAATGCAGTTTAGAATCCAAAAATTTTTTATTTTTAAGCTTTTTTATATAATTATATATTATAGAAAGTAAAATAAAAGTTAATTCATATATAGTATAGATATTATAAGTACTATTTGTTTATAAGTTATTATTTGCAATTTTGATTAATTAAAGACTTTGTCATTATATTATTAGTAAAGGAATAAAAAGTATAAACAAAATAAATAAGTTATATGAATAATAAAATAATACTATCAAGTTTTTTTTTATATTACATATATAAGAATAGAGTATACAAACTATATTAAATAACTTTTTTGATTAGATAAATATTTCAGAAAAAAATCATATTTACTTAATATATATTTCATTTCAAAAACTTTTTTTATACATTATATTTATAATAAAAATAAAGATTATTATTATTATAAATTACATAATATAATATAGTTAAATCTGATTATAATGAAGCTTAATTATAATAAAGATTTATTATAATAAAGATTTTCTCTTAAGCCAATTATTTTTGAGTATTTGACTATCTATAACAAATTTTATTAAAAAATTTGATTATAATACTTATAATAAAAATTTGTTAGAATAATATAATATATTACTAATTAATTATAATAAAGATTTTTATTATAAACAGATTGAAATTTATTATAAAAAATTATAATATTATAAATTTATTATAAATAGATAGATATTTATTATAAATATTAGTATAACTAAAATTTATAATAATATATTATCTTTGAAAAAATTCTTTAATTTTTAAAATAATTGTTAAAAATTTAAATACAAAAAAATAAAATTTAAAATATAATATATTAATAGATAAATAGAAAAAGAAGTTATATCTAAAATAATAAATAAATCTGAAAATTATTAATATTGAATTAACTTATGAATTTAATAGAAGTAAAAGAATTATAA